TTTTGTAGGAGTGGGGTTGTATTTTTTGTAGGAGTGGGGTTTCGCCTTGTTGCCCAAGGATTACAGGTATCAACCACTGCATCCAGCCTGAATATGTTTTTTTTCATGCACTTTGGCAGATTCAGAGTACTTTTTTGAGGGAAAAATGGGGCCTGCCCCATGCATCTGCTTTATTTGTTAATACATGTGAGTTCGTAGACAAATACCACAAGTGCTGTAAGTTAGCACTTGTTCTACAAGTTCTGTGATAGTGGTATAACTAAGTGTAACTTCAATGTGTCTTAGATATTAGATGCCGTGGTATCAAAATTAATATCCTGTTATAAAAAATAGGGAACCAAAAATGTTTGTGTATGATATCTACACTGGCTGCACATAGCAGATACTTAATGTCCATATAATATGGAATAAAGCTGGAATTACCAGTTTCTTAACTATCCCTTATGTCAGTTTCTTGCAGTTTCTTCATTTGGTATGCTATATCTGACCTCATTTTTTGTTTTTCACCATTTTAGTATAGGTTTTTGTTGCAAATCAACCTTATACATTTTAAAAATATATCACATATTACTCATATTTTAATGAAATGCTTACCATGCCTAGATATATTGTTCAGCTTTCTACTGTTAGAACTTCTTTCGTTAATTTAAAAGTACCTTTAGTTTTCTCAGTATTCATGTTTATCTTCAAAATGTCTGTTGTTGCTTATTAAATGAGTCAGAGCTCTTCACTGATACTCAGAGATCTCCTTAATCTTAACTGAAGACTCCTGCTATTTTTATTTTCCTAGTCCTTTGTGCCCTGTGAGCCAGTCAGACTGCTTTTTCCACTATAGTCTAATTAATGTTCCCATGTGATGCTGTCTTTTGTGCCTTTGCTCTCACTTTTCTTATCCCTGGTATGTTCTTTCCTATTGAAATATTGTAACTTTTTTTTTTTCACCACCTTCATAAATCTCCTAATCTCTCCTTCTGAACTCCCATAGTATTTTGTACATCTCATGAAATTTTTCATATTTTTATGTCTCCATTTTTTCCTACAAAATTGTAAGCTTTTTGAGAGCAGGTATGTTTCATCCGTCTTTAAGAATATGAAATAAGAAGCAAATTCCTGTCAGAATGTATTCCACCTAAAATGGCCAACCATTCTGGTTTGCCCAGGATGGAGAATTTCCTCAGACATGAGACTGTCAGTGCTTAAACCTGGACCGTTGGTCACCCTGATTGCGCTTTATGATATAGCCATCTTTTTTGCATATCAGTGCTTTACTGCAGGTTTTTTTTTTTCTTTTTAAAAAATAAACACATAAAATGAACATGAAGGAAACTTGTGAGTTTTTTGGGTTTTGGATTTTGTTTTGTTTTTTCAGACAGTTTGGCTGTCACCCAGGCTGGATTGCAGCTGCAGTCTTGACTCGCTGCAACCTCTGCCTCCCAGGTTCAATTCTTGGGCCTTAGTCTCCTGAGGAGGTGGGACTGCAGGTGTGTGAGACCATGCCCGACTAATTTTTGTATTTTTATTAGAGACAGGGTTTTGCCATGTTGGCCAGGCTGTTCTCGAATTCCTGGCCTCAAGTGATCCTCCTGCCTCAGTCTCCCAATGTGTTAGGATTACAGGCCTGAGCCGCTATGCCCAGCCAAACAAAATTTTTTTTTTTTGATTAACAGAAAAATTACTTGTGCCTTTTAAGCAAATGTTTGGAAGATTATATTCATATGCAGAAATGTAAAGATCAGATTCAGATGATAAAAAAGACCAAAATGTGGGAAAATTTTGACTAAAGTTGAAAAAGAATGATGTCCTTTTCATAGAGGGACTCTTTGGTAGTTTTGGTTTGTGTAGTAGACACAGTTTTTTTTAGAGTAGAACCTAAAAGAATGTGGAGTAAATGGTGGCAGTGGTTTGACCACAACAGTGGTATCTATTGCTAGAGAAATTAAAAATAGGATGTAAGATACTTAACTCCCCTTTTTACCAAAGGCTTCAGATAAAGAGAAAATGGGAGCGAGTCCAGAGATGATAGGCACTGTGTGGGCTAATGATTTTTTTAGAGATGATGTCTCACTATGTTGTCTAGGCTGGTTTGGAACTCCTGGCCCCAAGCAATCGTCCCACTCAAACAAGATTCAAGTAACTGGGCCTATAGATGTGATCTGTCATGCCCAGCTGGCAAGTGATTTTTATATGTTATGGTTTATTGTACAATAGAAGCTACTCACTGTGTGTTTTATTGTGAGAAGCTCACTAAGTTAGAAGGTTTTTCAGTTTTGTGCAGTATCTTTTTCTGTTCATATTTCTATTTCTCATAAGCTGGGAAAAACATCATCAAAGTTCATTGGGGTGACATCTTACATCTAAAACCTTAAAACTAAGTTGAGATTTATTATCACAGAATAAATTCCCCCATATCTCCACCAAACCTCCCACCACTCATGACTTGATGACTTCAATCATACTCATCCCGTTCCCCAGAGTGCCCTCACTTTCCAAGTGAACTCCCCTATTCCCTAACGATTTATATATCCACTGGTCTGGTTTAAATATCCACTTAGGAAGCCTTGCCTGATAGTTCTTTATAGGTAGACAATTGTTCTCTTCTGTGCATCCACAGCAAGCACTTTATTCTATAGACCCTGCTTGATTGTGCTAACACAGTGCAAACACTGAACATTTTAATTTATAAAACAGAGTGTCTTCTGGGCTTTAATATGTAGTTGTCACATTTGTTTTTCCTCTGATTTCTGGGCTACACAACCTCTTTGTTACAGTTAAAACTAATATCTCAGCCTGGCGCGATGGCTCACACCTGTAATCCCAGCACTTTGGGAGGCCGAGGCAGGCGGATCACGAGGTCAGGAGTTCGAGACCAGCCTGGCCAATATGGTGAAACTTTATCTCTACTAAAAAATACGAAAATTAGCCAGGCATGGTGGCGTGTGCCCGTAGTCCCATCTACTGAGGAGGCTGAGGCCGGAGAATCACTTGAACTTGGGAGGTGGAGGTTGCAGTGAGCTGAGATCATGCCAGTGCACTCCAGCCTGGGCAACAGAGTAAGACTCTGTCTCAAAAAAACAAAAAAACCTAAACATCTCTAATCTGGTCATTGAAATTGAGGTGTAAAGCAAATTAATATTTTCTCATTGCCTCTTATATCCTCCTTTTCCTATGTAAGAAATAATAAGGCCCACTATAAGGTAGTGCAGTAGAGAGAATGGAATTGATTCCAGAAATACCAAGGTGGAATGAATCAGACTTGATAATGGAGAGAAGAATCCATGACAACTCCCAGGTATACAGTTACCTATTAAAATAGTATGCTATTGAAGTCCTTTAGGTGTCTTAAGCACTGTAAACACCTAGATAGATGTAATTTTTAAAAATAGCAAATTAACATTTACTGACTACTTCCTATGTGTTACTCATTGTGCTACACATTTTGCATAGGGTAAGTTATTTCATTTGAATCTTTAAAAACTGTAAGAAGTAGATACTCGTATTTCCATTTTCAAATGAGGAAATGAGACAGAGTTTAAAATAACATAACCAAAGCCACTCAACTAATACTTAGTAGAACTGATTCCAACCCAGACAATGGGATGTAAAGGCTATACTGAGTCAGTATGCATCCCTATAGATTTTACTGCTAGTTCAGATGACAGGAAAAGAATGACTTTTTTTAAGTCACATCTAGAGAATTGGGAGCAGGGAGGAGTTCTGTACAAATATACCTATTTGGAAAGATCTGATAGAAACTAATAAGGTGATCTTGAGCCTACATCATTATTATTTTTTTACCTGTTTTTGAAATTGGTCTCTCCTTTTTTTAAAAAACCACTTAACTATTTTGCTTATCTGTTGACTCAGGTGAGAAATCTATTAAACTGATTCTTCTGCATTTGTCAGATTATTGATAAATTGTTTATATTCTACCATACATGACCAAATACTGAACTGAAAAGGTAACTATAGAAATAAAACTGTAAGGCCGGGCGCGGTGGCTCACGCCTGTAATCCCAGCACTTTGGGAGGCCGAGACGGGCGGATCACGAGGTCAGGAGATCGAGACCATCCTGGCTAACACGTTGAAACCCCGTCTCTACTAAAAATACAAAAAAAATTAGCTGGGCGTAGTGGTGGGTACCTGTAGTCCCAGCTACTTGGGAGGCTGAGGCAGGAGAATGGCGTGAACCTGGGAGGCAGAGCTTGCAGTGAGCCGAGATTGTGGTGGCCACTGCACTCCAGCCTGGGCAACTGAGCAAGACTCTGTCTCAAAAAAAAAAAAAAACTGTAAAAGTTAACCTTACGTTGCATGTCAAATTATATGTTGTTGAATATTTTAGTGAGAAGGTTGGTGTAATTAATGGAAAAAACTTGATTTAGTAGCAGTGTTAATCCATGGAAAGGGCAAGGGAATTTTTTCCTACTTGAGGTATTATAAATATGGTCAGAATAGAGAAAATGCTATACACAGTCTGATAATCTACAAATTTTGCACTTTCTAGATTTAGAACTCTTGTTCACAGGAGATCTTTCTTGGCAGAATGAGTAAGATTGGAAACATTTTCCATGTGTCCTCATTATGAGAGAGGCAGACAACTCAAAGTAAATATGATAAGCAGTCTTCATTTTAGCAGCTTTCTATTTATTTTATAGTTCCTTGTTAGAAGTTTTATTTTTAAAAGAGGGTAGGAGAGGTAGTGTTTGGGCCCCTTATTTTTTCCTTCAAAAAGAATTTTTAAAGTCTGTCATTGTGTTCAACAGATTCATAACAGGTCCATCTGACAGTTGAATTAGTTGATTTTATTTGGGAATGAGAAAAGAACACAGTTATCCTCTTTAGCTATTAAAATATTACTTTTGGAGTTGGAGGTGGAAAGGAGAAATCAAGTATCTTCTCTTCCAGAAAGTGCAGTGAGAGAAGTAATGTTACCTGACTTCAGGAACCAGTATTTAAGGCCCTTTTTTTTTTTTTTTTTTTTTTTTTTTTAAAGACAAAGTCTCACTCTGTTACCCAGGCTGGAGTGCAGTGGTGTGATCTCGGCTCACTGCAACCTCCGCCTCCTGAGTACAAGCAGTTCACCTGCCTCAGCCTCCCTAATAGCTGGGATTACAGGCGCTCACCACCTCACCTGGCTGATTTTTGTATTTTAGTAGAGACGGGGTTTCACCATATTGGCCAGGCTGGTCTCGAATTCTTGACCTCAAGCAATCCACCCACCTCGGCCTCCCAAAGTGCTGGGATTACAGGCATGAACCAGTGTGCCTGGCCTAATTAGGCCTTTCTTTATAATTTAGGATCACAAAATTTCAAACTGGGGTTGGAGGGGTGAGTGCAGTAGCTAAACAGCTTGAGATTGGAGAACTGCTTGTCACCAGTGTTTTGCAAAATTTCCGTTTTGGTTATACCCATGCAGAGATTTTTTTTTTTTTTTTTTTTTTTTTTTGAGACGGAGTCTTGCTCTGTCGCCCAGGCTGGAGTGCAGTGGCCAGATCTCAGCTCACTGCAAGCTCCGCCTCCCAGGTTCACGCCATTCTCCTGCCTCAGCCTCCCGAGTAGCTGGGACTACAGGCGCCCGCCACCTTGCCCAGCTAGTTTTTTGTATTTTTTAGTAGAGACGGGGTTTCACCGTGTTAGCCAGGATGGTCTCAATCTCCTGACCTCGTGATCCGCCCGTCTCGGCCTCCCAAAGTGCTGGGATTACAGGCTTGAGCCACCGCGCCCGGCCTGAGATTTTTTTTTTTTTAATACCAAGTCTCGCTCTGTCGCTCAGGCTTGAGTGCAGTAGCGCAATCTCTGCTTACTGCAAAGTCTGCCTCGTGGGTTCAAGTGATTCTCCTGCCTCAGCCTCCTGAGTAGCTGGTACTACAAGCGCCCGCCACCTCGCCTGGGTAATTTTTTGTTTGTTTTATATTTTTAGTAGAGTTGGGGTTTCACCATGTTGGCCAGGTTGGTCTCAAACTCCTGACCTCAGGTGATCCGCCCACCTCGGCCTTCCACAGTCCTGGGATTACAGGCATGAGCCACTGCACTCAGCTATTTTTTGGCATATTTTAAGGGAAAGAAATCACGCTTTTTAAATGTTGCTTATTGCTTTTCAAGGATTTGATTCTTGTAAGCTACTTTTTCATTTATTAATGAGATTTAAATAAATCAGGTTATAAAGTTAAGAGCAGTTGTCTCTGGAACCCAGAAGTTGATTTTAACACTAGCGTTTCTGCTGCAGGGCATTTCTACTGGACTGTAATTCCTCGAAGGCAAGTATAAGAACTATTTTTTTGTTGTTTGTTTGTTTGTTTTAGGAACAAGGTCTTGCGTCACCCATGCTAGAGTGCAGTAATGCAATCATAACTCACTGTAACCTCCAGTCGGTGGGCTTAAGTGATCCTCCCACCTCATTCTTTTGAGCAGCTGGGACTCTAGGCATGTACCACCACACCCAGCTACTTTATAATTTTTTTGTAGAAGTGTGGTTTTGCTATGTTGTCCAGACTAGTCTCGAGCAGTCTTCCCACCTCAGCCTCCCAAAATGCTGGGGTTGTACAGGTGTGAGCCACCATGCCTATCCCTACTTTTTTTTTTTTTTTTTTTTTTTGAGACGGGAGTCTCTGTTCAAGCAGTTCTCCTGCCTCAGCCTTCTGAATAGCTGGGATTACAGGTGTGTGCCATCATGCCCAGCTAGTTTTTGTATTTTTAGTAGAGATGGCATTTCACCATGTTGGCCAGGCTCGTCTGGAACTCCTGACCTCAGGTGATCCATCCACCTTGGCCTCCCAAAGCGCTGAGATTCCAGGCGTGAGCCACCACACCCGGCCTGTCCCTACTTTTTTTAATGCCAAGATTTGTGTATTTCATCTTCAGTTGGGATTCATGGCATCTGTCAATAATTGATATGAACTTAAATGGCAATTTACCTGTTAAAAGATAACATTACTCATCTTTTAAAAGTCTATACTTCTGTCATTTGCTGGAAAAGAATTATTAATCTTTATTCAGCAAACATTTATAGACCGAATAGTGGACACCAACATAAGGACTACCCTGAAGCTGCTTGATGATGGTAATAACTAACATTTAATGCTTTTATCAACAGTGTACATTCTTATTTAATCTGTCCCTCAACTCTGTACAGTCAGTATTATTGTTGTCCGTATATCACAGATTAAGACACCAGCCTAGAGGCCAGGTGTAGTGGCTTACGCCAGTAATCCCAGCACTTTGGGAGGCTGAGGCGGGTGGATGGATCACCTGAGGTCAGGAGTTCAAGATCAGCCTGGCCAACATGGTGAAACCCCACCTCTACTAAAAATATAAAATTAGCCAGGTGTGGTGGCACGCCCCTGTAATCCTGCTCTGGAGGCTGAGAGAAGAGAATCAGTTGAACCAGGGAGGCTGAGGTTGCAGTGAGCTGAGATCACACCAGTGACTGCACTCCAGCCTGGGTGACAAGAGTAAAACTCCATCTCAAAATAAATAAATAAATAAAAGATGCCAGCCTAGAAATAAATGACCACCCCCTGGTAAATTACATAGCTAGTTTTGGTCTCCTTATTTCCAGATTTCATGTTTTACCACACTGAGCTCCAAAGATGATGATACAGTATTTACTTTTAAGTGTATAAGAAAAAACTGAGTTTGGGCCTCAAACCAGCCCCACGATTTCTTTATTTACCAATTGTGAACTAGCCTCACTCAGTTAAGGAAGTCTTTTAAAATGTCAGTTATTTAGTTTCATCTTCTTAAAATGTAGAATTGCTTTATGTTACTTAAACATGGGTCCATTTTTTTTTATGAGTTAATTTGTTTGCTTTTCAAGATTTTGGATTCAAAGTTTTTAAGGTAACCTTGGATGCAAATTTTGTTAATTGGATTAATATAAATTTAAAGTTTTTAAAATTCCATTGGTCTGCTGTGTTTTATCCTGGATAGGATTAAAGCAGTCTTTAAAGGTAATCTGTTGTTGGCTTTAATGTTTTATAGTACATTCTGGTGACACTTGTCTCACTAGTCCACATTTTTTGTATATTTGGTATATAGATTTTTTCCTTGGTAGTCACTTGTTTTTACTTTTTATATTTTACTTCCCAGTCTTAATCTCTGTAACTAATTTGTATAATCCCTTATACAGTCAGTCTCTTTATTTGTGGTATTATTTGAAGAGAGGTGTGCTTCCTGAAAGAGGATGTCATGTCTGTGCCCTAATTTTTAGTTATATTGCTTTTATTGCATAAAGCATCTTGGACTAGCTTGCGAGAAGGTAAAAGAAAATGTGGTTGCATCTTGTCCTGGTTGAATGCCCACTAATCTTAATGGATTTTCCCAGTTGTGCATACCTTAGGAGTAAGGATGCTGTCTTATGTTTATTTTCACTCCTTTTTAAAATGTGTATTGTTTTTGAAGGATAATGACTCTAATATATCTATAATATTAAACCACCATTATGAAGTTAGAGAAGGAATATTTAGATTATCATTACATTTTATTACTAATGCAATTTATATTTTTTATAGTAATTACGGAATATAACTTTTTTTTTGAAACATAATAATAGTAATGTCAGTGGTTTGAGCTGCCACTCAATACACTAAAGAGAATTGCTATTCCTTCAGTTAAGAATCACTGCTCGACTTTTTTTTATTTTTATTTTTTGAGATGGAGTCTCCTCTGTCCACCTAGGCTGGAGTGTAGTGGCGCGATCTTGGCTTACTGCAGCCTCGGCCTTCCAGATTCAAATGATTCTCCTGCCTCAGCCTCCTGAGCACCTGGGATTACAGGCGTGCACCATCATGCCCAGCAAATTTTGGTATTTTTTAGTATAGACGAGGTTTCACCATGTTGGCCAGCTAGTGTCGAACTCCTGACTTAAAGTGATCTGCCCACCCCGGCCCCGCAAAGTGCTGGAATTACAGATATGAGTCACCATGCCCAACCTAAGACGCTTTTAAAATTCCATTTATGTTTAATTCTTCAAAGTCTGGTGCATGTAACATTATTGTAACAAAACATTTTATAATTGAAAGGGACTTTAGGGATCTAGTCTAGAAGTCAAAAACTGCCAGACCAGGGTTCAGATCTCTTATCTCTCAAATTGATTTTGTTGGTTTATACAATATTCATAATTTTTAGAATTCAAATGACTTTACCTATAAAGCATTCACTCTCTACTTGACCACAGTTCACGTTATTACCTAATAAGACCTTACTGCTTCAGGCATTTACATGGCTAGCTGACTGATGTAAGGCATCTGAGTGTTCAATATTTCCCCCTTCCCTCATTCCATCTTTTTGTAGACAAGGAATCTGGAAACCGAGAATTAAGTGATTTATCTCAAGATAAAAACTTTTTAAATAGAGCTGCTTAAATTCAAAGTTAATGTTACTTTCTACAGCTTGTTGTCTCCTTAGAAAATAGTACAAGGTAATACATAATCAAGTCCTAAAGTATTTGGTATAACTTGTCATGAAGGAGAATGATCACTGTGGGCTGAGTTAGTGCAAGAATGCTTCAGAGACATTTCCTTGACACCTCCTAAGAACTGCATCTTGAAATGTGCTGTCCTGATTCTGTGTTGTTCTTGCTACACAGTTGAGGAAAAGAGATAAATGTCCTCCTGTAAAGAGCTGGCATGGGAAATCACCAAAGGGCATTTTGTACATATTGAAAAACAGCACCTCATAAGACCAACTACATTTAGACTTCTCCAGAAATCCCATTTATGCCCCTTTTTGCAGAGGAAGGGGCTGGATAAATCTCTGACTCCCAAATCCAAATTTAACTAATTAGCATGTCACCCCACCAAAGATTTTTTTTTTTTTTTTTTTGATACTGTGTCTTGCTCTGTTGCCAGGCTGGAGTGCAGTGGCGCAGTCTCGGCTCACTGCAACCTCTGCCTCCTGGATTCAAGCAATTCTCCTGCCTCAGGCTCCTGAGTAGCTGGTATTACAGGCGCCCGCCACCACACCTGGCTAATTTTTGTATTTTTAGTAGAGACGGGGTTTCACCATGTTAGTCAGAGACCATCCTGACTGACCTCGTGATCTGCCTGCCTCAGCCTCCCAGAGTGCTGGGATTACAGGCATGAGCCACCGTGCCCAGCCCAAAGATGATTTTTTTAAATGCTCAACAGGACAAAGCTTAATGGTAGTCTTTCGTTAAAAACAAAATTTAATACCAATCCATTGACAGGACTCTGTGTACTGAGCTATATAGATTCACCTTAATAGAAGTCCTTCATAACCACCCCGTATAAAACCATCCATTTTTATCTCCTTTGGTTTTTTTTCCTCCATACTGCTTATCACACCTGACACTTTATATTGGCTTTGTTTCCCCTCTATACCCTTCACTCTGGATTATAAATTCTGAGGACAGGGTATTTTGTTTACTGCTTTATATTCCCACTGCCTAGAATAGTGCCTAACACATATTAGACACTCAGTATATTATTTATGGGTGTCAAATATTGAATGCTGTATTACAGTAGTGTTAATGGAAGGTGTCACTTCTTAGATTTTCTTTTCTGACCAGCACAGTTCTTGGGATGATGGAGTATGTCCTCAATAAATCTCAGCACCAAGTAAACAAGAATTTTCTTTTTAATACATAAATTTATCATTTTGTTACGCTTTTTAGTTTCCTCAGTGATTTTTTAGAATAACCCTTGTTCATAATTTGGAACAGTAATATCTGCAGTTGAATCTTAGGAAGAATGTTACAGGCAATCCAGAATGTTGGATAATTAAATCAGTTATTTGCATTGTGATGTTTAATATAGTGAACACATTTAGACAAAAAAAACTACCCGGTAATACCAGTTTTTATTTTCTTTGAGTCATGTCTTCAGGATTTTCTGTGAACTCAGAATTATTATTGCATTCATTATTGTTTTGTGAAAATACTAGTTAATAATTTCTGATTAATGAAATATCTTAGATAAATTTACTGAACTTAATGTAGAATATGATTTTTTTTTTTTTTTGGAGACAGGGTCTCACTTGTCACCCAGGCTGGAGTGCAGTGGCACAAACATGGCTCACTGAAGCCTCAACCTCCTGGGCTCAAGTGATGCTCCCACCTCAGCCTCCCAAGTAGCTGGGACTACAGGTGTGTGCCACTACACTTGGCTAATTTTCGTATTTTTTGTAAAGACTAGGTTTTGCCATGTTGCCCAGGCTGGTCTTGAACTCCTCCTGCATTAAAGCAGCCTACTTGTCTCTGTCTCCCAGAGTGCTGGCATTATAGGCATGAGCCACCACCCCCTTCTACTTTCATTTCAAATAGTTACGAAGCAGCCACTGAAACCTGACTCTGGACAATGCCAAAGGAGGTTTTGTTTTCTTGTCTTTCCATGTCTTTGCTGTGGTTTGCTCTGAAACTAGAATTAAACAGCTTTTTGAATTGATAAAAAAGAACCAATGCAAGTAAAACTCCAGCCTGTAGAGGAAATGGAAAAAGTTGTAGAAGTAATAATAAGTAAACTACTTTTAAACAAATGAGTAAGGTAGTAGGTATTTTGCAAGAAGTAAATAGCCAAGTGTAAAAGCTGTCAGTTACTTTCATCAGTCAGGTTAGTTGTAGTCACAGAAATTTTAGGTGATTATATAAGGAACTCATATTAGGAATCTTTAAATGTAAATGACCTAATACTAAAAACTACCCCAAAAATATATTCAGATAAATAGCAGAAACATTTATGCATTTGAAAAAGTCAGTGCATTCCACAGTTCCTCTGAATCAAAGATAAAAACAAATTAA